GTGCTTGCGGCTTCCTTGATTTAGGGTTTAGGGTTGAGGGTTTAGGGTTCAGGGTTTAGGGTTTAGGGCTTAGGGTTCAACCGCAAGTAAGAAGTCACGAAGCTCTCAACTGGAAGCGGCACGCGGTTTGGCACTCTACTTCCCAAGGCTACTAAACCCTCAAACCCTACACCCTAAACCCTCAAACCCTAGAGCCCTAAACACTAAAACCTCAACACCCTAAAGCCCTACAACCCTAAAACCCTAAACCCTAAACGTAGGGCCTCACACCCTGCAAACCTAAACCCTAAACCCTAAACCTTAAACCCTAAACCCTACACCGTAAACCTTAAACCCTAAACCCTCCTACGCCCTAAACCTTAAACCCTAGCACTTGGAGGTTCAAGAGTACTTAGAGCCCCAGTTATGACCGTACTAAGAACCTGTTTCGGGGACTTCGGGGGCTTTCTAAGTACAGTTCTAGCTGGGGGGGTAAACGTAACCCTAAACCCTAGACCCTAAACCCCAAACCCCAAGACCTAAACCCTAAACCCTAAACCCTAAACCCTAAACCCTTAACCCGAACCTTCAAGCAAACATGCTCCGAAGCAAGGGTCGCGTGGAGTGGCGTTCTAGTCTAATTAGGGTTTGGGGTCTAGGGTTTAGGGTTTAGGGTTTAGGGTTAGGGTTTAGGGTCTAGGGTCTAGGGTCTAGGGTCTAGGGTCTAGGGTCTAGGGTCTAGGGTCTACCGGACTCTGGGGGCTCAAGGGGATTGAGGCCGTAGTAGGTTCGGGTTTAGGGTTTAGGGTTTAGGGTTTGGGGTCTAGGGTTTAGGGTTTAGGGTTTAGGGTTTAGGGTTTAGGGTTTAGGGTTTAGGGTTTAGGGTTTAGGGTTTAGGGTTTAGGGTTTAGGGTTTAGGGTTCGGGTTTTGGGTTTGGGGTGAGGGCATCCTTCCCGCAGCTCAGCCCCACTTTTGTTCCTGGACTCCGCTTTGCGGAGGAGGCAGATAGCTCCTGAAGGACGTGACCTCGCGAGAACCTCGATATGGACCTTGATGTGGGTTATGGATCTTAGGGCTTCAGGGCTGTGGTTTGCCACAGCAGTGTTGAGCTTGGGGTCTGGAGGGTTTAGGGTTTAGGGTTTGGGGTTTCGGGTTTAGGGTTTAGGGTTTGGGGTTTACCCTTGTCTCTGAGCTCAACACAAGGGGCATGTGGGCTTTGGCTCACAACTGCGGTGCATTGTACAGCGACTGCGGGCAGTGTCAGCAGCACACGACCCAAGTCGAGAATGGGTTTCGGGTTTAGGGTTTAGGGTTTGGGGTTTAGGGTTTAGGGTTTAGGGTCTAGGGTCTAGGGTCTAGGGTCTGGGGTTTAGGGTTTACTTCTTTGCGGCTGCAGGGTGGAGGGTCCATATCGCCGGCTGGCAAGCGGGGCAGTTTCCGATCACTTGCCAGGGAACCGCTAAATCCCTAAACTGGGTTGGCCTTTAAGCCCTATGAAAAATGTCTATATATAGGGTCCCGTATAAGCCCAAATAAGAAAAATAACAATGTCCCAAAAACCAACCTAGCAAAACCCTAAGCACTGCAACCCTGAACCTTAAACCCACTGAAACCCCAAACCCTAAACAAGAACCCGAAACCCGAAACCCGGAACCCTAAACCCTAAACCCTAAACCCTAAACCCTAAACCCTAAACCCTAAAACCTAAACCCCAAACTAAACCCCTAAACCTCGACAACCCCCTAAACCCAAGAAAGAACCCACGAACTCAGAACAAACACACTGCGGCTGGCGTTGGGAGAAAACCCTAAACCCTACACCCTAAACCCTAAGCTGGCCCTAACCCCTAAGCTGGCCCTAAACCCTAAACCTTACACCCTAAACCCTACGCTGGCCCTAAACCCTAAAGCCTAAACTCCGAATCTTCCCGGTGTGGGGGGGGCCGGTGTAATCCTTTGAACCCTTCCACTGCAGACCATACAGGCCCGAGACCCTAAGCCCTGAACCCGAAACCCTAAACCCTAAACCCTCAACCCTGTCACGGTTTTGGGTCTGGCCCCTGGGGCGGCTAGGGTTTAGGGTTTTGGGTTTTAGCGATAGCACTAGCATCCTCCAGAGACCCGAAGGCCCCTGTCACAAGGATGTTCCTGAACATCAAAACGGATTCAGGGTTTGGGGTTTAGGGTTTAGGGTTTAAGGTTTAGGGTTTAGGGTTTAGGGTTTAGGGTTTAGGGTTTAGGGTTTAGGGTTTGGGATGATTGCTGGATCAGGAAGGAGTACATCCCTTAAAACATGCTGCGACCCCTGATCAACAAACTAAAGAGAGACTCCTGAATGAGAAGTATTCCTAAGCCCTGAACTCCTCAACCCTTCGCCCCAAACCCTAAACCCTAAACCCCAAACCCCAAACCCTAAACCCTAGCCCTAAACCCTAAACACTTATGCCCTTAAGCCTGAAGCCTTGAGCCCGAGACCCTGAACCCGAAAAGGTTCCTAAACCCTGAACCCTACACCCTAAACCCTAGCCCTGAACCCTAAACCCTCAAGCCCCTGAAAAACCCTAAACCCTAAACCCTCAAGCCCCTGAAAGTACTCAAAAAACAACACAAGAAAGTGCTCGAAACTTTCCCCGAAACATCCCCCGACCTGAACCCTTCACAATTTCAATAAACCCTAAACCCTAAACCCTAAACCCTAAACCCTAAACCCTAAACCTCTAAACCCTAAACCCTAAACCCTAGACCCTAGACCCTAAACCCTAAACCCCAAACCCCAAACCCTGAACCCTAGGAGTCTCTTGGACCGTAGTCAGACGACTGTCAGGTGGACTTCTTTGCCTCGAGGACGTCCGGAGCCAACGGTTTGCGGGCTAGGGGTTTAGGGGTTTAGGGGTTTAGGGGTTTAGGGGTTTAGGGTTTAGGGTTTAGGGTTTAGGGTTTAGGGTTTAGGGTTTAGGGTTTAGGGTTTAGGGTTTAGGGTTTAGGGTTTAGGGTTTAGGGTTTAGGGTTTAGGGTTTAGGGTTTAGGGTTTAGGGTTTAGGGTTAGGTTTAGGGTTTAGGGTTTAGGGTTTAGGGTTTAGGGTTTAGGGTTTAGGGTTTAGGGTTTAGGGTTTAGGGTTTAGGGTTTAGGGTTTAGGGTTTAGGGTTTAGGGTTTAGGGTTTAGGGTTTAGGGTTTAGGGTTTAGGGGTTTAGGGGTTTAGGGGTTTAGGGTTTAGGGTTTAGGGTTTCAGGGCTTATGGGGGTTTAGGGGTTTAGGGGTTCAGGGGTTTAGGGGCTTAGGGGTCTAGGGGTTTAGGAGTTTAGGGGTTTGGGGGTTTAGGGGTTTAGGGGCTTAGGGGTTTAGGGGTTTAGGGGTTTGGGGGTTTAGGGGGTTAGGCGTTTAGGAGTTTAGGGGTTTAGGGTTTAGGGTCTAGGGTCTAGGGTCCTAGAACTCAAGCAATCTCTTTGACCCCTGCAAAACCAACAAAACTCAGAAATCCTCTGAAGCACCTACACCCAGGACCGCTCTATCCTCAGCCCACTCCACCCTGAAACCTCGGAATCCAGAATCCCATTGAAGGCTTTAGGGTTTAGGCTTTAGGCTTTAGGCTTTAGGCTTTAGGCTTTAGGCTTTAGGCTTTAGGCTTTAGGCTTTAGGCTTTAGGCTTTAGGCTTTAGGCTTTAGGCTTTAGGCTTTAGGCTTTAGGCTTTAGGCTTTAGGCTTTAGGCTTTAGAGATTGGGGTTTAGGTTTAGGGTTCAAGGCTTGCGGAAAATTATTAAGGGTTCGGGTCCGCAAAAAGCTTCGAGGAATGTCGAGGAGTTTCTTTTAAACTATTGAATGATTTCAAGATACAGGGGGTGAGAGTTTAGGGCTTATCGTTAAGAACCCTAAGCCCTAAGCCCTGAACCCTAAACCCTAAGCCCTAAACCCTAAACCCTAAACCCCTAAACCTGAACCCCTAAACCCTAAACCCTTAAACTCCTAAACCCTAAGCCCTAAACCCCTAAACCCCTAAACTCTTCTGGCCCTGAACCCCAAAGCTGGGAGTCGGGCGTGGCCCTGAAACAGCGACCGCCTGGCCAGGAACTCCGAACTTCAGGGGATTTGGCGTAGCTTAGGGTCTAAGCTCTAAACCCTAAAGGGTAAAGGAGCTAGGGTTTAGGGTTTAGGGTTTAGGGTTCAGGGTTTAGGGTTTAGGGTTTAGGGTTTAGGGTTTAGGGTTTAGGGTTTAGGGTTTAGGGTTTAGGATGGTTTAGGGTTAGGGTGGTTTAGGGTTGAGGTTTAGGGCTTAGGCTTAGGGTTTGGGGTTTGGGGTTTAAGATGGAGGGCTCATGGAGCACGACCCCAAAATGAGCAAAAGGCAAGCGGAAGGCCACAGTCGCTTGGCTTAGCTAATTCCTCTGCGAAGAAGTAAAAAAGAAAACCCTAAACCCTAAACCCTAAACCCTAAACCCTAAACCCTAAACCCTAAACCCTAAACCCTAAACCCTAAACCCTAAACCTCTAAGCTAGGGCTTGAGGTGCCATGCAGGGGTCCGGCTCAACAGCCCCGGCTCTGCAATTAAGCACCAAAAGCCCAGGGTCTAGGGTTTAGGGTTTAGGGTTTAGGGTTTAGGGTTTAGGGTTTAGGGTTTAGGGTTTAGGGTTTAGGGTTTAGGGTTTAGGGTTTAGGGTTTAGGGTTTAGGGGTGTTAAACCGACAGGTTCCCATGTTCACTTGTGCTGTCCAACATGTCTTCATCCTCGCCGGCCCTTCCGACAGCTCCGAGGTGGGAGGGAGAGGCTAGAGCTTGACCAAAACTGCACGGGGTGCAGTGGAGGGCTACATGCAGGGCTGGGTCCTCATAGGGGTCTGTGGACAGACCATAGGGTTACTTAGGTCAGGGTGCCTCTGTCGACATTGCTTAGGCCGACAGGACCGGGCTTAGGCATAGGGGTTTCACATTGGTAGCGGAGCCCGGCCTGTCGCTAGCTAGGAGTTAGTGTAAACGTTTACAGGGGGTTCCAGGGAGTTTTTGTTGATGGGAGTGGCGCGGCGCCATGGCGCAAGCTTCAGAAGGAACGGCTGAAGCAGCGGCAGGAGCCACCGGAGGTGTGAGCCATCTCCCGTGGCAGCAGGTCCCGAAGTTTACGCCAGGGGTGACAAGCGTGGACGAGTACTCTCAACGGCTTCGCTTTCTCAAAGAGTTGTGGCCAGCCGAGCATCTGTCGTTGTTGGCTCCCCGGGCAGCCCTCTTGGTGGAGGGGGCCGCCTTCCAAAAGGTGAGCCGGATCAAGCCCGAGCAGTTGCGAGGACCTGATGGTGTGAAGTACCTTGTGGAGTCGCTGGGCGGGTCTTGGGGAAAGACCACAGTGGAGGAGCGATACCACTTCTTTGAGCAGGCCATCTTTCAGACGCAACAGAAGGCGGACGAGAGTAACGATTCGTACATTGCCAGACACGACGCTTTCTTTGAGGAACTCTTGAGCCGTGGGGTGACCCTTGAAGAGATCCGCGCCTATGTTCTTCTCCGTCATTCCTTGTTGGCCCCGGAGGACAAGAAGCGTGTGATCGTGGAAGCCAAGGGCGACTTGAAGTACCAAGAAACGGTCCGAGCAGTGCGGCTCTTGGGGTCCAAGTTCTTCACAGACTTTCAGAACCGTAGTGGCCCGGGAAATGCCAAGGCAATGGATCGAAGCAAGGTCTACGACATCCACATGACGACAGACGACGACACCTTTGAGGAAGTGCACATGGCGATGGGACAGGACGAGGACCTCAGCGATGAGCTCATCCTGGCTCACTTCCTTGAGGCCAATGACGAGGACGCCATCTACATCACGGAGTTTGAAGATCAGATAGTGGAGGCGGTGCAGGAGAGTGAGTTGGCCCCAGTCTTTGCCTCGTACCAAGAAGCTCGTCAAAAGCTGCGGGACAAAGCAAAGTCCAGGGGGTTCTGGCCCATCAAGGGCAAGATGAAGGGGAAGGGCCAGTCCGGGAAGAGAGGCAAGGGTTATGGTTCCTGGGATGGGGGCCGTCGACGTTCCCTTGCAGATCGGATCGCCAACTCCAACTGCAAACAATGTGGGGCCAAAGGGCACTGGAAGCGGGAGTGCCCGAAGAACGACGCTAAGCCAGAGGCGACCTTGTTTGCCCAGATCCAGCCGACCGATCCCTTCCAATCGGAGGTTCTCCAGACCCTGCCAGACTCCGAGCCCTTCAACATCGATGAGGACGACAGCGCATGGACACAGAGAGGGGTTAGCACAGGGACAGGGAATACTGGAGTAATTCAGGACTTTGGGGAGACTTGCTTTATGGTTGCGCCAAAGGTGGGGCCTTCTTTGTCTCTCGAGTCTTGCCTTGCACGACGTTTGTTAATGATTCACAGGACATGTAGGACGCCAAGCTGTGCGCCGCCGGGTGCATCTTCTGAGGCGCAAGGGCCGGCAACCGCGCCGAAGCAGGCAGTTTTGAGACGCAGCAAGCCCAGTCCCATAATACCTGAAGCAATTCTAGTAGCCACTGTAGGTACTGAGGGGGTGCTAGATACAGGGGCCAGTAGGACTGTGCTAGGAGACCAAAGGGTTCGAGAAGTGATAAGCGGTCTTGCTGCAGAGTGTCGCGGTCGAGTAAGGAAGATAGCTTCTGATGTCACCTTCCGTTTTGGAAACAGTGGGACACTCACGTCAAAATTTGCGCTGCTGCTGCCCACCTCAGAAGACACATGGGTCAGAGTTGAGGTGATCCCCGGAAACACTCCTTTGTTGATATCAAATCGTCTTCTCAGGGACCTAGACGCAGTTATTCATGTTAAAGAGGGGTATTTAATGCTGGGTGGTTCTAGGAGGGTAGACCTTAGATGGGATGAGCGAGGCCTATCCATAGTCAATCTGTCAGATCTCCTTCACGTCGGGGACAGGAAGGCTCCTGTCTACGTTGTTGACAGTCTGGGGGCGCACCCGCGTCCAGAAGCCTCCTCGGGAACACCAGCCAACAGTCCAGTCCCCAGTCCCCCAGAAGATGTTTCCGTTCCACCAGAATCAGCAAAGCAGCGTTTCCAGGAACCACAGAACACAACACGGCAGCCTGAGCTCAAGCAGACAGCACGAATCTTCGAATATCCTTCTCCTTCGCCGAGCGGCTTCCAACCGAGCGATGCCCACCTCAGTCAAGCAGTCCGTGAAGAAGCTCCAAGAGAAGATGCCCGAGGTCAATCTGGACGAACCTCTCTCCGCGGAGGAGGATGTGCACTTGGCCGAGGAACAGCTGACCATGGTAAAGTACTTGGAGGTGGAAGTTGTCCGCCCACCGGGGATTGCGAATCTTCGGGAATGGGGCCAAGTGGTGATCGCGGCTGGCAAGCACAAAGGAAAGAGTCACGAGAAAACGTTCGAGACCGACCTGTCCTACTCGATCCTCATGGCTCGGAAGTCTTCTCTCAGCAGCCCATGGGCACTGTCGTTCAAGAACTATGCCCTGATGCGACTGAAGCAGATGGCCAAGACGGAGCAGGCGAGGTCCACGACCAAGGCGGAGGCAAAGAACATCAAGTCCCAGGGTCCAGCCGTCATGGACGGAGAGGAGAGCGATGGGTGGAAGCTCTGCTCGCCGGATGCCACATCCCACACAGCTGCACCGAGCCGGGGCAGCAAGAGGAACAGTCAGCCGGGGGCAAGCTCGCAGATGCTCATTGCCATGTCGCCGGAGGAGATCATGACGCGCCGGGCCGTGCTCGAAAGAGAGCTGACGAGGCTTCGGGAGATCGAAGATGCCGACAAGGAGTGAGGGTTGATCCAAGCATGGAGACGGACGCAAGCAATCAAGGGAGGCATGGCAAGGTTCAACAAATGTGTGCACAAATAGACAAGTACATCCTGCAAATCGAAGAACAACTTGGTGATGCAGTGAGAAATTCGGTGTGCCAGCACCGTCTGCCCTCCCTTGATGTCATCGAAATCGGTAGTGGGGCCATTTGCGCAGCCGTTCAGAGATGTGGCGGGAGAGCTTTAACACTTTCTCCGGCAAAGCTTGGGAGCGCTCGGGGTATGTATGATCGCCTCTGGAAGCTGATCTCAATGTATGAGCCGACACATCTCTGGTTGGATTTGCAGCAGCCGTGGAACCACAAAACAGACAAGGGCAAAAAGACACCATGGCCAGGACAGTTTCTTCTTGACCTTTATCGATACCAAACAGAACGAGGCAAGCACATACATTTCCTGTGTGGCCAGGGTTTCCTTGAGCAAATGGCGCCTCAACTCCAAGAGGTTCAACAGGGCACTTTGCGAATGATTCATGAGCTGGAAGTGGGAGACACCCCGCCAGGAAACAACCATCTCCGCAAAGCCACCACACTGTACACCACGTCCAGACGACTGCAGCAAAGTGTCGACACTCGCTTTCAGACAGCGGGTCCAGATCCCAGTGGGCGAAGCAACCGCATGTTCCCACGAGAGAGGCGTCTTGCCAAACGGGTAGCCATGCACCTAGGTCAGGACTTAGGGTTTCCTCTGCCTTTAGAAGAGCTGTTGTTTAATGTTGAAAAGCGGGGAGTCTCTAACTCTGACTTTACTGCCGCCCAGCAAGTTTTGAAGCGCCGAAGACTGTTTGGAAAACAGCCAGGGCCGACAATCTCTGGAAGCGAGGCTCCTAGGATAAGTTGGGATACAGTTTTTCGAGATGTTAACGCGAGGGTTCCGAAAGGGGGAAAGGTAGGGTTTTCAGAAGGGGACCCGGTAGTCCAACAAGTTCAAGCACTGCTTCCACAGATTGTTGTGCAACATGTCGTCTGCTGTCGAGGCACCAACCGGATACAGCCACCTTGTGTGGAGGGAATGCCGCGGGACATGCCTTTACGTCAGACGGTTGTGGTAAAAAGGGTTGGTGGTGAAATAGCTATGGATGGTGAGATAGAGGATTGGTCCCAGGTTCCACGATATAAACAGATGCGTAAAGGCATTCCTGCAAAACTCAGTCTCACAGCTTACGGCATGTCACCTGAAAGGTTGCGGAGTTTCAGGGGTCTTCGAGCAGAAGAAGCCCGGAATCAGCAGATGCCCTTAAGAGTAGACCAAAATCCCGAAGCACCCCAAAACCCTGAAAATACCTCAACAACAACAGATGTGCCGACAACGCGCTCGGATGCTGAGGATGGACCGCTCATTCAGGGCTACCCTCCACGGTCGGTTCCTAGGCACGGGCCGGGGTACTTCGCTTTAGGGGAGTCCGAGAAGAGGGAGTTAGTTAGGCTCCATAACAATTTGGGTCATCCATGCACTGAGACGTTTGTCAGATTCCTGCAAGAACGAAAAGCCGAGCCGGCGCTCATCCAGGGTGCTCGCGACTACTCTTGCAGTACGTGCTTGGAAACGGTTCCCACCCAAAAGTTAGCTAGGCCGGCGACAATTCACACGCATCGAGATTTTAACGACACAATAGGTATGGATGTTGCGTACTGGACCAATAGCGGGGGGAAGAAGTTTCTGTTTACGCACATTGTCGATGAGGGCACACTGTTTCAACAAGCCAGTGGAGTAGGTAGGACGCCAGAAGAACAATGGGAGTTCCTATCGGATCATTGGTTTCAGTGGGCAGGGCCTTGTCAAACTTTGTATGTAGATCCAGCAGGGGAGTACAACAGTGATTACTGGCGTCTAAAGCTGCAAACTGTAGGTGTGTGCACCAATGTTTCTGCGGGAGAGGCTCATTGGCAACTCGGTAGGACGGAAGCTCATGGTAGGATACTGAAGAGCATGCTTTCTAAAATGGACCATGAAGAGCCCATCCTGAACGACGAAGATTTTCGTCGGTGTCTGAGAGCGGCAGTGCAGGCTAAGAACAGCTTGAGTAGGGTCCGGGGCTTCACACCTGAACAGGCAGTCCTGGGTAAACTTTCGCGGCTGCCAGCCTCTCTGATTTCCGACAATAGTGCCACGTGCCATGCTTTAGCCGACAGTGATCTGCCAGAAGGAGTCTCCTTCAGGAGGGACCTGCAGCGCCGTGAACAGGCCAGAGTCGCATTCATACATGCAGACAACGACAACTCGTACCGTAGGGCTCTACTTCGTCGTTCGAGGCATCCCTGTGAAAGATATGAGCCGGGTGATTGGGTTCTGTACTGGCGCCGACATTAAGCCGGGAGTCGTGCGGAGCAAGGAAGGTGGTATGGGCCGGGTCAGGTAATTTGTGGGGATAGCAAGGTAGTGTGGGTGAGCCACTGTGGGCAATTGATCCGTGCAGCTCCTGAGCAGCTGCGATCCGCGTCCTTGAGAGAATGGCAAGGGGTGCTGGGAAAGACCAGTGCTGAGAGTTCACAAGGGGCAGTAGGTCAAGGGGTTGGAAGGGTGGTCGACCTTGCTGTTCTCGGAGGAACACCTAGCCGAGCAGAAGTGGAGAGCCAGGGAGAGGTTCCGCAGGATGTTCCCGAACCATTAGGACCCATAGCCCCAGAAGGAGGAGCTGGGATAGAAGCCGGGGGTACGGTTCCTGAAGTTCCTGAAGAAAATGCGGAGGGAGAACAGCCAGAGATGGAAGTCTCACCTGTGCCGTCGGTAGGTCTCGAGACAGATATGGTAGATGCTTCGAACATTCCTGTGCCTGAAGATGACGAAGACGACCTCTTGTTGGGAGACAGTGAGTGTTTTTTCGCACATCCCACACAGTCACAGGCATGGGAAATCAGTTTGCATGAAACGGAGGTGCCTTTCGAAAACCTCCCGACGCCGCAGCAAGCTTTGCATTTTGTAATGTTAGCCACCGAGGCACGCAAGAAACGAGTTGAAGTAAGATTGAGGGACTTGAACGAGGGTGAGAGGCAACAGTTCGTAGAAGCTAAGGGCAAGGAGATTCGAGCCTGGCTTGACCACAGGACTGTACGTAAAGTAGCTGCGGGAACCCTTGATGATAGTCAACTCATGCGTTGCCGCTGGCTTCTCACATGGAAAGGTCCCGAGAAGGATGGAGGGCCGAAACGGGCCAAAGCTAGGCTAGTGGTGCTTGGGTTTGAAGACCCAGACATTGCTGATATCCCTAATGACGCTCCTACTTTAGGTAAGGACGCCCGACAACTCATCCTTCAGAAGGTGGCCAGTAACCGTTGGAAACTGATCAACTTCGATGTGTCCACTGCTTTTCTGCAGGGGGAGGGGGATGGTAGAAAGCTAGGCATAAGACCACCTGAAGAGTTAAGAAGAGCTCTCAACATGCAGGCGCAGGAACAATGCCAGCTCGAAGGCGGCGCTTACGGCAGAATCGATGCTCCGTTTTTGTGGTTTCAGACATTTAAGAAGACACTTGAAGAGCTTGGTTTTGTGCAAAGCCCTTTCGATGCCTGCGCTTTCAGCCTCGTTTCACAAAGGGCCGATGGTAGTGCTCAGGTTCATGGTGTTCTGGGAATACACGTAGATGACGGGATTGGGGGAGGTGATGAGTATTTTCGGAGGGTCATAGATCGGTTGCGGGGTATCTACAGCTTTGGGTCGTATGATGAGGGCGAGTTCACGTTCACCGGGATTCGTTTTCGCCAATGGGACGATGGGAGCATTGAAATGGACCAAGAGAGGTACATAGAGAAGATCGTGCCCATACATGTGTCCCGAGAGCGTAGAGTGAATCCCACCGCGATGTTGAACCCTGAAGAACTTAAAGAGCTGAGACGCCTCAACGGTAGCCTCCAGTATGCTGCAGTGCATTCTCGACCCGACCTAGCTGCAAAGGTAGGCTACTTACAGACAAGGGTCAACAAGGGCCAGGTTCAGCATCTTCTGGAAGCTAACCGTGTCCTTCAAGAGGCCAAAGCTCACCCAATCTCTTTGATGGTTGTGCCAATTCAAGAACAGCATGTTACGTTTTGCACCTTTTCGGATGCTTCCTTCGCCACGTCGAAAGACCATAACTCGTATCAGGGTACGCTGGTGGTGGCAACAGACTGGCGAATGCTAGCCAACCGCGAAGCTGTGATCATTCCTGTGGCCTGGTCCAGTAAGAAAATCTCCAGGGTAGTAAGAAGTACATTGAGTGCTGAGGTAGTTTCTCTCTGTGGGTCCGTAGACCGAATGTCCTGGATCAGGTTGTTCTGGGAATGGTTCAAGAATCCTGCTGTTGATATCGCACATCCGGAAGAAGTCCTTTCCCACGCGCCTCAAGCTTCGTTAGTCACCGACTGTAAGAGCGCTTACGATATAGCTACGAAAACTGCTGTACCTACGTGTTCTGAACTACGCACCCAGTTGGAATGCTCTAAGGGAGAGACTTCAAGAAAATTGCAAGATGCGCTGGGTTCATTCAAAGGCCATGTTAGCGGACTGTTTGACCAAAGTGATGGATAGTTCCGAGTTAAGACGTCACCTACGGGAGGGTTACTATGCCTTATTCGACGAACAAAAGGTTCTTGAGAATAGAGCGGGGCAGAGACAGTCGCTGCAGTGGCTACGCCAGAACTCAACCAGAGTCTCACCGGAGCACAAGTGAAGAAACTTAAAAAGTTGGTTTTCGATGAGTGTTAAACCGACAGGTTCCCATGTTCACTTGTGCTGTCCAACATGTCTTCATCCTCGCCGGCCCTTCCGACAGCTCCGAGGTGGGAGGGAGAGGCTAGAGCTTGACCAAAACTGCACGGGGTGCAGTGGAGGGCTACATTCAGGGCTGGGTCCTCATAGGGTTGTGGACAGACCATAGGGTTACTTAGGTCAGGGTGCCTCTGTCGACATTGCTTAGGCCGACAGGACCGGGCTTAGGCATAGGGGTTTCACATAGGGGTTTAGGGTTTAGGGCTTAGGGTGTCGAGTTTAGGGCTCAGGGTTTAGGGTTTAGGGTCTAAGTACCGCAACTGGTTAAGGGCTTGGGGTTTAGGGTTTAGGGTTTACGGCTGAAGGCCCAAATAGAGGGGCCTGCTGAAGTGGAATGAATATTGCGAGTAGCTGTTATGGTAGCCATACAGGGGTTCTCTACTGGGATGGTACTGAACAAAAATGACCCAAAACCCCAAAACACCCTAAACCCTCAACCCTAAACCATCAACCCTACACCCTAAACCCTGAACCCTCAACCCTAAACCCGCCTAAACCCACCTAAACCCACCTAAACCCACCTAAACCCACCTAAACCCACCTAAACCCACCTAAACCCACCTAAACCCACCTAAACCCACCTAAACCCTGAACGCCGCGAAGCCAAAAAGCGCCTGTCGTGCTTCACCACCTTCGGTTCCTTGAGCTCGGGTGCAGGGCGCATGCCTGCCACCATCCTGAGGGGGGCGGTTTAGGACCAACCCGAGAGCCCCAAACCCTAAACCTTTAACTGGGTAAGAGGGAGGCAAGGGCCAGCAAGAAGCAGCACCTCACCTCAGAATGAAGTCCCATCAATGTCTGAGTCTTCTAAGCCACCTGAACAGGCGCTGTCGTTCCTGTGTCGACAGGCTATGGTGCTCGCTGCACACTTCCTGCGGTGGGGTGAATACTGGGCCTGTGTACTCTGTACAAGAGGCCAGCAGAGGGGAAACTCCGCCATCATGTAGAACCTCACGTAGGAGATCCCAAACACCATCAAGCTGTCCAAGAACCGGTCTTTGCTGGAGTCCATGCCGAGGCGCTTGCACGCCTGCAGTTCGTAAGCTGTATACCTTCCGTCTGCGGTCAGGTAACAGCCGACAACCACTAACAGTCTCCAGGGAACGAGCTGCCGTAAGGATCGCCGCCGTCCACTCCCGTAGTGGGACCAGCATGGGCATGTCAGTGTGTCGTGCGTCCAAGTACTCACCAGCGTGTTCCGGGCGAGGGTCACGAGCTGGTGGGCAAACGCCTGTAGAGGCGACGAAGTGCACCAGCAACTCAACGTTGGTAACGCCATTGCACACGCCCTTGTGGGCACCAGGCAACTCCCATCGTAGTCGCCGTAGCCATTGCCACAAAGGGAAGGTAAACCATGGAGGCCACGGACAGGCGACCAGCCAATCGTTCTGCAGCGTCTTCGTGGTCCAGAGGTAGCCTGGCTTGGGGTCAAGCTCCCGCCAAGCTTCCGCCGGCGAAGTGGCCTCGTCCAGGTTCTTCCTAAGGACCGGCTCCAAGGAAACTGCAGTGTCACCTTTAGCTCGCAACAGTCGGCTCGCCTCTGCCGACACCGCCAGCATGTAACGGGCCGCTACAAGCATGCAGTCGCGCTGCGTCGTAGTGAACTCAAAGACCTGATCAACGATCTCCGTGACGATGCTCAGGTCCGCCTTGACCGCCTCCTTAGCGGCAGTATCCGCGTAGTCATTGCCCAATGCCATTAGTAGGTCTCGGCCAGCGAGGCAAGTCATGTCCTGATGTGAAGCGACCTTGGTAAGCTTGAGGTGAGGGCGCCAACAGGCCTGCATTTCCTTCGCCAGTTCAGGAAAAGAACCCAAAGCACCCTGAACCACAACGCGCGCATTCCTAAGAGCAACCTTGCTGTCAGAAACGATCTCAACATCATCATGGGGGCACTGCGCTGCGAAACGACAAGCCTGGAGGATGGCATATGCCTCCGCCTTATTTATCCCTTGGGACCCTGGTGTCAGGCCTTGGCACACCACACAGAAGAGGTTGCTGTGGCATCCTGTGGCTCGCCATCTCTCAAATTCCTCGAGCACCAACTCAACGTCGGTAGTTAGGGCCATGACGACAGCGAAACCTGAGTGCGATGCAACCGGAACTGTGGGATGGCGGCAGCTGCCATCTGTGAAGAGCAGCAGGCGCGGGATGTGACGCGCAAGTTCCTGAGCAGCCTTGTTGCTAGCCGCAGGCATGCGACGCTGTGCGAAAATCAGGTTTGTGACTAATGCACCTTCTGCTCGGACCGCATACAGTCCATGCAACCAATGAGGCCAGCGGTCAAGGCAGTACTGCATCAAACCGGCCCAATCCTTATACACATGCTCAAGTGCGGAACATGTCAACAGGCGATGTTCCTTCGTGTCCTTTGCGCCACACAGGGGACACATATCGGGGACGGCGGGCTCCCACTTATGTTTGGCGGCCCCAGAGCTATATGCACCGCACACGTAGCGAGCCAACACCAGTGCCTCCGCATCCCCAACCTGGCGGAGGATGCGGGCGGTCTCTTGACCCCAAGGTGTTCCTACACCCTGTAAGCCGTTCCTATGGGCAACGGTGCGCTCCACATGGCACTCCCAGGCACTCGTGAGGAAGCTGCGAACGTCTTTTGCACTGGCAGTTTGCAGCTGCAGACAAACATTGTCCGGGCCCTTCACTCGGGCATCAAGGTCCATCTTCAGTCCCAGGAAGTGAAGCGACTTTAACAAGGCCGTAGCAGGGCCCACTGTAACGCGAGGGACCTCGTGGAAGTCAGACATGACTGCCAACATGGATGCAGCCGTATGGGGCGCATGGTGTATGAAGCGGCGCAGTTGCAAGACCTGCTTCTCAATGGCAAAGAGATGTGGGTCCTGAAGTGAGGCATGGAGGCATGTGAGCGCCAAGTGGGGGCTTGCGACTTGCGAAGGGCCCAGCAAGGCCCTCGTGGCTGCGGCACGCAGCCGGGACGCGTCCTGCACACTCAAGGAGGCACCCTCAAGTCCATACAAGCAGCTGGGCCAAACCCCTTTTTGTATCAGCTGCGCCTTCTCCAGAATAGGACGTGGCACCTTTTCCAATTTCCGGAGTCTTTCAAGCCCCAGCTCGACTTTGCCCTTGCGGACAATTGCATGCTGGGAGGCATCGAACTGGAAAGCAGCCCCAAGCTCCCTGACCGTTCGCGCAACCGGCAGTTGCACTTCAGGCGGCAACACGTCAGCGAGCCCTGTCCGGAGCCACTGACGGCCACTTGGAGTTGTAGCCCAGCTGTAGGACTTAGTCCAGTCCACAGGGAGTTTGAGACTTTGAAGGAAACGGAGGAGGTATGAGGTGGCATGCTTCAACGTTGGGAGCGCCGGCGCCTGCCAACTCCAATTGTCAACGTACGTGCCGAACTCAGCAGAAGACGGTTGAATGAAGTTGTGAGCCCAATAGCACACGGCAGCCATGGCGGCGACCGACACTGGGTCGCCCTCCGGCGCACCGTTATAGGCCTTTATGCCAGCAGGGCACACCGACCCGAGGAAAACAGGACGCCTAACAACCTTGCGCAAACCCTGCAACCAAAAGTCAACGAGGTCACCAGGCATGCCTGCTCGTGTCATCAGGACACGCAAGGGAGGCCATGGCAGCTGGTTAAGGCATTTTACTATGTCAACCCCAACCCCGTAAAGCGTCTCCTTTTGCAGCAGGGCGCATTCAATGGCATGCTGCTGTCGCCCCGCCAGATCACTGGCAGCCCTGCCTGGTAGACTCCCCATGACTGCCGGTGGAAAGGTGTTTCCCCACGTGTGCAGCACCTGGTTCACAAGAACTGAACCCCAAAGACGATACAAAGTACTGAATATGACAATAGGACGACTGTGCTTGATGTGCTCAGGCGCCTCATGCTTGGCCAGGACACAGACGCGCGACTCAAGCATGTGAGCAGGCAGACCCAACTTAACGGCAATCTGAAAGATGCGGATCAGAACCTCCAGAGCACAGTCCGGCAAAAGTTTGAGCTCAGACGGGGACCATCCACAGATTCCTGTGGCCTTCTTTTTGGGCATTCGCCGGATAGCTTGTCGCCACAACCGTATGTCACACATGTCAACATCAATGCGTGGCAATGGCCCTGAAAGGTCTTGCGTGTTTGCCTGGAAGAGCTCCCAACCTGCAAGTCGCTGTGATTCCTCAGTACGGTCACGGCCCCAGAGCGGCCCCCAGTAGTCACTGAAGGCCTTGGCAAGCTCGGGAGCTGTGCATGCCACCTGGTCCTGTGACACCCAAATGGACTCCCCAAGTGATGGACCACGGACACAAATGTGGTCACCCTCGTTGGTGGCCTGCGGGATGGTGGCCTGATTGACAGTGAACGGGGCGCTCGGGTGCAGAGACACCCCTGCAGGGAGGGCATATGTACACATGCTTGCATCCTCAGCATGGACCAGAAGGGCCTGGCATTCCAGTCGATGGGGCACGCTGGTGAAAGGGGGATGCGGCGCTGGGCGCACAGCCGCAAACCCTTCCGCCGACGCATGGTAGCGCCGATCCAAGGCCATTCTGATTTTGAACTTGTCCGCGCGGCACTTTGCCTCCTGCTTAGCCAAGGCTTGGCAATCAAACTTGGTATAACTGATGCAGTCACAAAGCCAGTCAGCATCGGGCAGGTCGAGTGGCACCTGATGGAAATGGGCAACGCGCAAGAGCCAAGCGGGGAAAGGCATAGAGTATCCTGCTGCATTCCGTATACGCCGCCACTGGTCACAGGCGCAGCGGTTCCTATGGTTGTTGCCTGGGCGGTGTTGGATTGCATGAATGGTGCGGGCAAGCTCCTCCAGCCGCCGAACCTGCCGCACCCGCATCCGGCACAGAACCGAAGTGGCCTCAACATCCGTGGTGAAATCGCCACGCCTTGCCGCCTTCACCAGCTGTGGGACAGGGCGTTGACACAGGCTTCTAGGGCGGCACCGTCCGCGTTGCGCTTTCCGGAGACCACACTGACCCGAGTCCGTCGGGGAGTCCAACAAGCCGCGGTGGACCGCCTCCTCCACAGCGGAGGCCCACGACTGCAAGCACGTCCCCACATCAGTGGAGGTTTGACACCTTTGGAGTTGCGCGTGCACCTGAGGGAGCAGGGCCTCGCAATGGTGCTTGAACAGATGCGGCGGCGGAGGGGAATCCGCCCATGTCTTCGGCATTGTCCAAGTCTGAACCGTTGGGAGGGCATGGGGAACCTTCAAAGTGACTACCAAGGGATCATGCGAATCAAAAAGGTGTCGTCCCGCGAGTACTTGCGCCCCAATCCAGAAGGGCACCAGCACCGGGTGAAGGAGCAAAGTGTCATGACGGGTGGACCCCCTGCACGTGGGAGGTAGGGACTGGCCCGTCCTATCTTCATGGAGTTGGAAGGCTTCATGATACCCACGGCTCGCAAAAGCCTGCCCGGCCGGGAGGGACATGGGTCGGCAATTGAAGTCTCCAGCAATAATACACGGAATTCGGCAGGAGCAGGCTCTGTCAAAGGCAGCCTGAAGGAGGGAGTTGTTGTAAGTCATGGCACCTGTGTGGTTTGCAGGCAGACCATATAGTGTCAGTAGACGAACCTCCACAGGGCCAAATCTCACGAACGCCTCGGCCAGGCGGCCACAGCTAGCATGCTCACCCTGTAACGGCTGTATGGACGGGCGACTGGGGAGATGCGTGAACATCGCCACGCCCGCTGCCATTCCACGTAAAGTATCCGCGTGGCCTTCACGTTGATGTGATGGGACTGCAGCTCCCCAGTGGGACGTCAGCCCATACTGCCGGAGCTTATGGCCCACGATATGTTGAACCCGTGCAACCGCAGAAGTTTCAGACACACACAAGATATCACCCTGTAGGCTCAAGAGATCCTGCTCTTTGTGGAGAACAGACGTCGGGTTGCACACCACGATACGACACACATCCCCACCCTGCACGGTTTTAACCTGACGCCTATTAGCCTTTGGTGCCGTGACACGCTGCTGTGGGTTCAGCTGGAAGTACCTGTGAAGTGTAACTGGCGCCGGTCCTGGATGTGAGGCTTCACCAACCCTACAGGCACGCCACCAATCATGCTGCGTCGTCCGTCTTGGCAGGCTCGTGTCTGTGTGGGACGAGAGGACAAGCATGCCGGAACAGCGGCAGCAACGTTGAGGGGCGGTACCATGTCGGGACCCCCAACTCCACCTGCACGGAGCTGAGGCACCAGAGCTTGGCAAGGCCTCGAGTACAGCAACTTGGGATATCGGCACAAAGAGTCCTAGGCCTAGCGTCGTTGCAACAACTAAGCTCTTTTTGGGGAAAGATTCAAGACGGTAGATGGTAGCAGAGCCCCTCCGGGGCCAGAGCAACGTGGTTAGATGAAGAAAGGGCCAAAAACCTCCGAGAACAGCATATGGCTGAGGAGGTGGCAGTCTTTTGGCAAAAAGGCAACGAGGCCGCTCAGTCAAGACGGTCATTCTCCCAGTGACAAAGCGGGAGGCACAACCACTAACCCGACCAGCAGCTAAAACCCAAAAAAGCACTGCGTGGCAGTGCTGGCGGGGAAAGACCCCCGGAAACCGTCACAGTTCCGAGTCTTCACGGCGGGGTCGTTTCTCAGCGGCCTGGGCGAGGATCAACTGTTTTAGCTCAGCCATGCCCTGCGCCACCTGTTGCTCCTGCTGGGCTTGGGCGCAACGCAAGGAGTCGATGCTAGAGCTGAGCTGTTGACCCAGTTGATTGCTTAGGAGCTGCATGTCTGCGCGGACGCGCCCCAAATCGTCCGCATGGTTCTTGAGGTCCGACTTCCTGTCCACTGACTCCTTCTCGACTGCTCCCTGCAGCTGCGCAATACTTGTTTCCAGGGCATGCAGTCGTCTGTCTTGTTCAGTGAGGCGTGCAGCTGCCTGCCCGTCAAGGCCTTTTGCAGGTTGCGGAGGAAGGCGTGGCGGCGCCGTCGGCCCCGCTGCCTTTGTTGCGAGGTACTGACCCCACGGGTCTTGGGAGGACCACGGGTCCTGTGTGTCAGACGCGTGGATTGACGTGGCTGCACGTAAGACACAAGCACAGGCGTGCCGTTGAAGGCCGGCTGAAGGGAGGGAGGTTCCTGATTTGTGCCCAGGAGGTAGTACGCTGGTCCTAACATTTTCAGAACCTTGACCTTCCATGGAAGCTTGCTCGCCCATGTAAGGACATCGCGCTCAGAGGCTGTAGCTGGCAAGGGGCCAACCTTGTACAAGCTAGAGACTGGGATGTTTTCTGGAATTGGGTCCGATGGGCGGAGTTGCTGAAAGACAGCAGCAAAGGCGTCGGCCGGGACACGTATTCCGAACCTGCGTCGGCCCCGAACAAGGCCATGTTGAGATGGGACAACGAGGGCCTGTCGTTCAACCTCAGCCTTAGAGCCTGCGAGCCAAACAACCGACCACCCGGGCAAGGGTCTTGAATCCCCCCACGCTTTGGGCACAACGTACACCATACAGAAGCCGCTTTGCTGGAGGACAGTGCGCAGGATGGAGTCAGGCACCTTGGCATGGAACTGCAAAGAGTCAGCTTGGCTTGGCGCAACCGGTTTTCCATCTGCCCGGTATGTGCGGCCCCACGGGTTGACGAAGGGCTTTTCAACGCCTTGGGCCTGCAGTTGTTGCTGGGCTGTGGGAACCGGGCTTTCAATGAAGTGGGACCACTGGACCTCTGCAGGGAGATCATCCTTATACACCGTGAAAGCGCAACACACCATGCCTTCAACTGTCACTGCAGCCTGCGTCTGGTACTTTGGTTGCACATCCGTGGCCCCTACGTTGTGGAAGCACCCGGCGAGGAGGTGTGGACGCCCGGTCTCCACATCCTCGGCCGAGATACTAATGGTTCCCCCGCAGGTCGAAGGCTCTGGGCAATCGTACCCCAACACCGCCACACACAGAGCATCCGACTCCATTGTCCTTAGCAAGGCAAGGTCTTCAGGGGTTGTTGCGGCGGCGTCCTGCAGGATAACACCTGTTGCACCTGGACAAAGGTTTTGCAAGATGGGCACCGGCTGCTCGTCCATGCCACACCATATCCCTGGGCATAAGCGGAATTGCGCGGCCACTGGCACGGTCTGTGCCGGAAGGCGTTGTTTTCGCAAGGCTTTTTGGATTCGGGCAGCTGCTTTGGCAACTCGGCTGTCCCCACTAGGCAAGGTCCTCCCATCGCTGGGCCGGGTCAGTAGGCTTAACCAGAGCCAGGCATTTGGAGGCCCCGAGCTTGTCTAACAGGCGGTCTGTGACAACCGTAGTTTCATGCAGGCTCACTCCTCTGTCCAACAACAGTGAGGCAATCCTCGTCTTAGCCAACTGGACCCCGTCATCCTTAGCGCCGCCACCTCGATGCTCAACATGGACACAAAGCAAAATGCGGCTGGATCCCTTACGGCGGAACAGGGGCTGCGCTCCGTTTGTCTGCAGGTTGCGTTCGACAGGGAGCGGGAACGGGCCCGATGTAACCCTGGCCTTCGGCCAACAACCAGCGAACAGGCTGGCAGACCGCCAGCAGTTGAGGATGGTTTCCACAGTCATTGCAGCGGGCAAGGATGTGAACGCCACAGTCTCGGCCTGGCACTGAAGCTCAACCTCAACCTTAGGGCACCCTGGCGGCTGTGTTTTGGTGAGTTGGTACAGTTGCCCCAAGAAACTTTGCTTACGCAGCAGCCCTTGCATGCTCTCTGGAGATATCACAAAGCCTGCAAGCTTTGGTTGGAGGGAAACTTGTAGCCTATCAACCGCTCGTGGAGGGAAGGCGCCGAAGGTGACCGACCAGCCCATGGCCTCAATCAGCGCAATGGGCAGGTGCATGCACCAATGCGCAGCAAAAGCGGATGGCACTTGGAAGCAGAAACCCTGACCCTGTCGCCTGACCCTCGTGGCTGAGACACTGCTTGGTGCATACTGGGGCGGCTGCATGGGCACTTGATCGATGGAAGTAACAATGGTCCAGGCTGGCAGCTTTTCAAGTTCTGGGACGGGGCGCCCCATAACGTCAAGGCACACTGCGTCGCCTGAACCCCTTCCAATGACTTTCAGGAAAAGGGACTTGAGCTGTGCCAGAAAATCGTGCGCATGTCTTTTCAAGCAACAAACGCCAGAAGGTGTGAGCGCAACCAAGACAGGTGCACCCGGCTGCGGTCGAACATCCCAGGGCACATGGAGAGGCGTGTGTAGTGTAAGTGTTTCTGACGGTTCATCCGCAGGTGTCTGCGTCGCACTGCAGGAGTGTGCACAGCGGTTTGGGCTAGACCCAAAAGAGGTTCGGGAGGTGGCCCCCAGCTGCATGCCTGCAGCCTGTGTCGCACTGGGGGGGTGAGCACACGGGTTAGGGCTATACCCGAAAGGGGTTTGGGAGGTGGCCCCCAGTGCGTTGAAAGCAAGGGCAAAGTCCAGCCCCGGCGAGATGTGGAGCTTCAGTGGAGTGCCTGCGGCCTGTGTCGCACTGCAGGGGTGTGCACACGGGTTAGGGCTAGACCCGAAAGGGTTTGGGGAGGGGGCCTGCAGCACGTTGAACGCAAGGGCAGAAACCTTCGCACTGGGGGGGTTGGCACACGGGTTAGGGCTATACCCGAAAAGGGTTGGGGATGTGGCCCCCAGTGCGTTGAAAGCAAGGGTGGGGTTCATCCCCTTCAGTCGTGGAGTGCTTACGGACTGTGTTGCGCTGGGGGGGTGCGCACAAGGTTTGGGGCTAAACCCGAAAGGGGTCAGGGAAGTGGCCCCCAGCGCACTGAGAGCAAAGAAAGGGCCCAGCCCCAGCAAGAGTCGTGGAGTCTCTGTCGCACTGGGGGGGTGTGCACACAGGTTTGGGCTATACCCGAAATGGGTTAGGGAGATTGCCCCCAGCGCGTGCACAGCAAAGGCACGGTCCAGCCGCAGCGACAGGTGAACCTTCGGTGTTGGAGCGCCTGCGGTCTGTGTCGCACTGGGGGGGTGTGCACACGGGTTAAGGCTAAACCCAAAAGGGGTTCGGGAGGTGGCCCCCAGCGCGCTGAAAGCAAGGATAGGGCCCAGCCCCAAAATGAGCGGTGGAGTGCCTGTGCCCTCTGTAGCACTGGGGGGGTGTGCACACGGGTTGGGACTACACCCTAAAGGGGTTCGGGATATGGCCCCCAGCGCGTTGAAAGCAAGGGTGAGTCCTGTAGTAGCTGCAACGGTCAAACTAGGGGAGTGTCCGCAAATGGTGGTCTCCTGCGCGTTGAAAGCAAGGGTCATTTGTGGAGCGCCTGCCGCCTGAGACATAGGTACATGGTGGGTCCGGAAACTCTCAACAGCCCTCCTACACCCAGCATCAAACAGAGCGTTGAAGAATGGGGAGACTGGCAAGACTACTGCAAACTTGGCCCTGAGTCGCTTGTCAATACAACAATGCACAGCTACAGCGGGGTTAATGGCATCATGAGGCTCAAACTGCGTGTCTGTAGGGTCATGATCCAGCGACCAGCTCACCTCCCAAGGCACCCGCACGAGTGCCATGCGCATGGCTGCCTGGCTCCAGCCGCTAAAGCCGCCGCAAAACACCTCAGCCCTACGAACCACCTCATGCTTTTCAATGTCCAGTTGCCCCATGAGGAACGCCGGTCCCATCGTGGCGTCCAAGATGACCACGTCACCCTGACAGCATGCCACCGTCCACGCAGCTCGTATCCTACGAGTGTGGCTTGCCAGGGTGTAGAAATCCGAAGCTCTCAGACGTAACACAGCCTTCCCTCCCGCGGTGGAGGGGCAAACGCTGATATCCCCATTGGCCGCCCAAATGTGTGCCTGTTGCAGCACCTGCGCTCTCACCAGGAAGTCCTTGCCTGCCGGCACAAAATCGCCGTCCAAACGAAGATCAAAGCATGCTAGCTGGCCTTCCCGAAGATCCTGGCAATGTGCCGCAAAACCAAAGAGATCCCTCAATGACTCCCAGGCTGGATGCGTCGCTCTTTCATGTGTCCCCTGGTTCGACATGGCAGGGCCCAATTTGCAGGCACGAGGCTACCCAACGACCTCGGCTCTAGTCGCCCTGGGCCGAGAGGCTCCCCAAACCCTAAACCCTAAACCCCAAACCCCAAACCTTAAGCCCTGAACCTTAAACCGGTTTGGGGGTCGGAGGTTTGGGGTCAGTGGAGGGGGTGTTGCAGTAATTCAGGGTTCACGATCAGGCGTTTCGGCGTTCTAAGGGTTCAAAAGCTCTGGGCTTCAACTGACGGGCTCTCCTTTAAAGCAGGGCTTAGGGTGAGGGTTTAGGGTTTAGGGTTTAGGGTTCAGGGTTGAGGGTTTAGGGTTTAGGGTTTAGGGTTTAGGGTTTAGGGTTCGGTTTGGGGTGTAGGGTGTAGGGTGGAAGGTGTAGGGTGTAGGGTGTAGGGTTTAGGGTTTAGGGTTTAGGGTTTAGGGTTTAGGGTTTAGGGTTTAGGGTTTAGGGTTTAGGGTTTAGGGTTTAGGGTTTAGGGTTTAGGATTGAGGGTTCATCATGGCCTGTCCGGAAACACCTTATCCTATCCTACTTTTCCGACATTACGGGAATTCCGAGAGCTTAAGCTTTCTTGAAGTTTGGTGAAGGCTTGTAGGGGCCTGAACAATTAGCAGGCATAGGGTTTTGAGGGGGTTACTCCCTAAACCCTAAACCCTACACCCTAAACCCTAAACCCTGAACCCTAAACCAAGAACTATATAGGGACCATAAGGGAAGACATGGGAAGAGGATTAGTAAATAGTCCGACCCCTACATTAGCTGCTGCCGAGTGAGCAACAAGCCAACCCTAAACCCTAAACCCTAAAAAACAAACCAACAGACGCACTCCGGAACTTTAGCCGCCACGTGGCTTGTCGAGAGCTTGGCGCTGGTACACGTCCTGCCGCATGTCCATGACCTGGCCGGGTTTAGGGTATAGGGTTTAGGGTTTAGGGTATAGGGTTTAGGGTTTGGGGTATAGGGTTCAGGGTATAGGGTTTAGGGTTTAGGGTTTGGCGTTTGGCGTTTAGGGTTTAGAAACCTCAAGCCCGGGCCGTTCCCCTATTGGAGCAGCAGCTACCACGACAGACTGCTGCATTTTTTCGTATCCGCTCTCATCCAAAACCCTAAACCCGAAACCCTATACCCTTAACCCTGTAAGGAGGAACATCCTGAGCGTTGACCCACACTCTGCTTCTCGGGGCTTGCCCAGATGGTCGCTAACTAGGGTTTGGGGTTGCAAGTCTACTTGGCGCAGGGGCCACGAAGGCTAGAATAAAGACTCGCTAGGAATTCTTCGCTGCTGTTTAGGGCCCTAAACCCTAAACCCTAAACCCTAAACCCGAAACCCTAAACCGGTTCAGGGTTCTAGGGTGTTAGGGCCTTTGGGGCTTGTAGGGGCTTATAAGGACGTCGAGGGCCAGGGCCTAACACGATCACGTAGAGGGAGGGTTTAGGGTTTAGGGTTTAGGGCTTAGGGCTTAGGGTTTAGGGTTTACGGCTTAGGGCTTAGGGCTTAGGGCTTAGGGCTGGGGGCTGAGGGCTGAGGGCTTAGAGCTGAGGGTTGCTTACCCTGCCGTCCCATCCTCCGGCCCAAAGGCCTGCCAAGCTTAAGATGTGGCGGCTAAACCCTGAACCTAAACCCTAAACCCTAAAACCCTAACCCGGAAACCCTAAACCTAAACCCTGAACCCTAAACCCTAAAACCCTAAACCCTAAACCTAAACCCTAAACTCAGGGTTTGTGGTTTAGGGTGGCAGGGGCGCCTGTGTCGCACCACTTTTTTTCGTTGAGAGGGTGTAGGGAGCTGTACAGCTTTAAAGATTGAGGCTTGAGGCCCTGAACCCTAAACCCTAAAACCCCAAACCCCAAACCCTAGACCCTAAACCGCAAACCCTAAGCCCGAAAACCTAAACCCTCAACGCTAAACCCTAAACCCCAAACCCGAAACCCTAATCCTAAACCCTAAACCCTGAACCCTAAACTCCTAAACCCTAAACTCAACCTGCTGGGGGCTTGGGGATCCCTTGCCCGCACCTGCTGGTAGGCCTGCTTGCATTCGGCATCGGCCGACATCCGCTCAGTGAAAGG